TGAGCTCTGCCTGCTGCTGCCTCCCGAGTGCTGGGGTTAAATGTGTGCACCACCACCGCCCGGTTTATTTTGTAATTTGTTATGGGGTGAGAGTTAAGTACCACACGCCATTCTTCTGTGTGTGGATATGCAGTTCGTCATTGCTGTTTGCTGAAGTGGGTTTTTGCTAATTTGTGTTTTTGACACCTTTCTCACAATATGAGCTGTAGCTGTGTAGTTTATTTCTAGGTCCTCTACTGTAACTCATAATCTACATGTCTGTTTTTGTGACAGTACCACACTGCTTTCATTGCTGTGGCTCTTAGTATGGTTTGAAATCAGGTTCTGTGGTGTTTTCCCCATTGCTCTTTTGGCTTCATCTTCTCTGCTCCCATAGAAAGTTTTTCCCTTTTTCCCTAGTTCTGTGGAGAATTAGAATTTGTTGTTGTTTGGTTTTTCTAGACAGGGTTTCCCTGGGTAGCCCTGGCTGTCCTGGAACTCACTCTGTAGACCAGGCTGGCCTCGAACTCAGAGACCCATCTGTTCTGCCTCTGGAGTGCTGGGATTAAAGGTGAGGGACACCTCTACCCAGTGTGGTTAGAATTTTGATGGGGATTGTATTTTTGTAGATTTCTTTGAACAGTGCTGCAGTTTTTACAGTGTTAACTCTGCCAACCTGTGCGCATGGGAGAGCTTTCCATCTTCAGCAAGCTCTGACGGCTGGAGGGACACCAACTCACTTGAGCACGTGGCTCCGATAGGCCTGTCCTTCCTTTTTCCTATTCATTCTGCTTTGCTGAAAACCAGTAGATCACATTCCTGAAGCTAGCCACCGAGGTCTATTCCCTTATTTGGCCACTTCCTTTTCCTGAGGCTGACTACCAAGGTCCACTATCAAGTACTAACGTCCATCCAGCAACCAAAAGCCCCCTTGCCTCACCCAATTAACATGCCCAATCAAAACTGAACACCTCATCCTAACATGGGGGTTCTTCCTTTGCCTTTATAAATGGCCATTTTCTATGTGCTGGGTAGTCTCCCCTCTGTCCAGAGGCAGTCCTTTGTCCCTCCAGAACAAATATCCCTGCCCCTTCCCCACCTCTGCCCCCTCTCCCCTGCTCCCTCTCTTTTTTACCACTACATCCTAGTCCATTCTAACACAGACCCCTCCCCTTTTCTCCTCTTAAAAAATGAACCTGCAAGGTCATTTGCTGCTGTTTCCTGCCTGAGTCCGAGAGCAGTCACTTTAACTTTTCTTCCCTGCTTAAATAAAGGATTTCTCTGTGAAAACGGGTGTTTGGTGTCATTTGTACCTAATCCAGGGTCCTAGAGCACACGCCCTCTGTGTGCTCATGTGCCCTCACACACAGGGCTTGGGGGATCTCCTTCATATTCACTGTCTTAAATGTTTTTTTTGGCAAGGTCTTTCACCTCTCTGTTCAAGGATCCAGTTTAACCTGGTTGTGTTTATTCCATTTTTGTTTGCTTGTTTGTTTCTGGCTGCAGTGGGCGGGACTGTTGGCTGACATCTTTCTTACAGGTTTGTGTTACAATGCAGAAGACTGGCTGAGATCTCTATGTTGGTTCTTTGTCCTTGCTGGAATTATTTCAGTTTCTTAAGCATTTCATGACTTCTCTTCACTAATGATGGGAAAACTGCTATCAATTGCTTATCAAGAAAAGTACCTACTCATAAAAGAATCTTGATCAACATTTTATATTAAGCTGTGATCCCTTTATGCAGGTCAGCAGAAGCTAAACAATGAAATACACCAACTGCTTCGATTCAGCAATGGCAGGCTCACTGATGGACACAAATATACACACACCACACACACACATCACATCACACACATATACATACACACTACACATACACACACTACACATACACACACCAAACACATGTACACACACACTACACATACACACACCACACATACACACACACACCACATACCATACACACACCACATACACACACTCACATACACATACCACACATACACACTACACACACACCACACACACACCACATACACATATACACACATCACACACACACCACACACATATATATCACACACACCACATATACACACACCGCACACACACCCCACACATACACATACCACACACACACACCACACATACACACCACACATACTACACATACACACCACACACACAATACACACACCACACACACACACCACACACACACACCACACACACATACCACACACTACACATACGCACACCACACACACTACACATACACACACCACACACACATATATACCACACATACACACCACACACACACATATATACCACACATACACACCACACACACACACCACACATACACACATCACACACACACACACACAAAGATGATAAATAAATAGCAGCACAATTCTCTAACCGAATAGCCCTTCATTGCTAGGTAAGAATGCTAAGGTAATTAAATGTTAGGACATCTACAAGTAAGATTCATGGTGGATGGTCAACCAAAAGAAATATAGTCTGAGCATCTATTTAGATGCTTCTAAGGCTTGGATATGGTTTAAATGTCTCCTAAAGGTTTATTCATTGGAAGTTTGGTCCTTGGAGTGAAGGTGTTAACAAGTAATGGTACGTTTAAGAGACAAAGCCGACTATGGATCCTGCAGTCCACAGTAACCACCTGCCAGGCGATGTGTGATGTGAAAGCGGCATGACTGTTATCAGGACCGCAAACGCTTTCTCCCTGGGCTTGAGGCCCACTCCATATGAGAAAACCTACGCCAGGTAGTGTTTAGCTGGCCAGGAACTGTGGCACACAAGGTCACAGGCCTTGGGGAAGCTTTCTACCATAGTTTTCCTAAATGGTCCGGTTGCCCAGCTGTCTCTAAAATACTCATGTTTATCTCAGCCTCAGTCAGAGAAGTTTCTATTTTCCATGACAGCAGTTAGTGTGTGTGTTCATTGCTGGTCATCAAGAATGAGCGAGAATGGAATTCATGGCCCTAAATGGAAGAACAACATCGTCTCTTCCAAGGCTCATGGAATGAGGCAGAAAGAATATCAGTACCAGAGGATGGGGAAAAAGGCTTTTGGACATAATTTGGCCTTTGTACTCATGAATTCACTGCACAGAACAAGAACAAGGCTGTGCTCGTGAACATTTCATCCCCACCTCTCTCTGAAGAACTAATGGCAGGAAGAGACGGCTAGAAAGGAGGGCACCATTTTCTTCAGTGGTATAGCAACGATAAGCTGCCAAAGCTCCTTAAAATAACCCATGCACATGCAAGCAACTCTAACCAAACTGTATCACACACAGCAAGAAGATGTGAAAGCAGAGGGGGCTTGGAGAAAGTAGAAGGCTTCACTGAGAGAGGGAGCAGAATGAGAGGCCATGAGGGGTGAGAACAACTAAAAGGTGTGTGTGTGTGTGTGTGTGTGTGTGTGTGTGTGTGTGCAAACTGCTAATAAAAGAGGGGAGCAGACTGCCATGGGGGGTTTTTAAGTCATTGGGAGTGTGTCCCCAGAAAGTACCTTTGGGACCTGAGAATGTTCTCCCTAGAGCAAGTTCTTGCATAAGAGTGAGTGCTCCTTTTCTCCTTAGCCTAGCTTCTGGTCTTGTCAGAGTTTTTAACCTCTGTGATGTAACAATTTCCTCTGAATTGAAACGTTTCCATAGGGAAGGAGGAGGGATGCTGATAAGATCTAGGAAGTAAAACAAACAACAACAAAACAACTTACAAGACACAGGAAGATCCTGAAACTAACAAGACTTCTGGAGGTCCATTCAAGGTTGTGCTGGCCACAATACTCACTGGAAAGAACAAACTTTTCTGAGGGATTGATGAAAAATTTTTCAGAGAGCCTCAGGAATGCAGCTTTCTCCACATGACGGGATGGGCTTTTTCAGTGAGGCAACAGCCTTTGAGTCATCTATACTCCTGTAGGTCAGTCCTTGCCCATCTTCCTGTAAGGGACCCTGATAAACTTACTGCTTCACTAAGAGCTGTGATTGGAATTCTTCCTGTGATCTGTCATTGGTGCCCTATCTGGGGCGAATAAAGCTTTTGTTCCTATCTATCCAGGAACAGCCACACACACAGCCTTCTGGCTGCTCTACTTCTGGGTACACACCTACCATAAATAAACAAGGATAGCAAGCGTGGAGATTTACATAACCCACAAACAGAGCCAGCTTCTCAAAAGACTAGAATAATTACACTGCAAGATGAAATCACTGGCTTCACCTGGACCGCCTCAAGTGCGACAACCTGAGTAAAAGTTAAGCCTGGACCCTCCCCCAAACTGAGCCCCCAGCTCAGACGAGATGGTTAGATAGAACTTTCTGGAGCTCCTGGGACGAGTACACATCCTAACACATGTAACAGATAGTTACATGGAGGTACATAGGTACACAATAGACTTGATGATGGCTTCTAGGGCCAACACTTTAGGCCACTGAAGTAAATAGAAGACACCGGGCTGTGTTTAGTGCCAAGAAGACCCAGAGAGTCAGTTCAGTCGGAGCTTGGGAGCTTAGGTGCAACTCTGGCCCTGTCTCAAAGAGCACTAAAGGAAGTGCCTTTCTGTCTCCATGCTGACCAATCATTGATTAGGAGCTACCCGAGTATGAAGGATGACCTTTCAGGGAGTTACTGCTCTCAGGTCAGAGTGAACCTCAAGTGTGGCTAGGGCTGGTGGGCACTCATCTGAGCCCTGGCAGTTGTTAGCAGTCCTCTCGGTTTGGAGATCAGGGTCACACTTCTGCAAAGAGGAGCATGCAGTCCTGCAGCAGATGATAAAGTGTCCTAGGCTGCATGAGGACCCCTGAACGGGGTCTTCAGAGCCAAGGCTACCAACATAATCACTGTCTGTGACTCGATCTCACAGCAAGTACGAAAGGAAGAGATTCACCTAGCCCTAATCTGAAGGTTCAACCACAGCACAGAGCCATTTCCTCTGTTCTTCAGACTGAAACCTGTTGCCCTGGCCCCACCCCTCCAGCTTCTACGCTCAACATTTGCAGGACTGCAGCAGGAGTGGCCGTGCAGCCAGCTTCCTTGAGGACGCGTGGGAACTCAACGGTCCTGCAGGAGAAGGTGAGCCGTGGGATGGAGGACACAGAGCATGTGGGACGGGGACTGGGTGTGATGGCCATGGTGCAGCCCAGGCACTCAGTGCATGAGGTTGAGAGGCCCTGGAAGGATGCTGAGACTGTCTAGTATGTGGTTCATCATCTCATGACTAACAAAAAAGACTTGCTTGATAGGTGGTTTCTACCCATGTCATTAGCTGCGGTTGTCTGAAAACCCATCACTTTTCCTTAAGATGTCACTGCTGCCCCTGAGGCAGATTCTCAGAACTAGAAGGCAGGTCACCAAGTGTGAATGTTCCCTAACTCTCTTCAATTGCCCGCATCAAATCTCAGTGCACCAATGACTGTCAGAGGGACATCAAAGTGGGCAAGATTGAAATCCTGTTGCTGACTCCACATCTGGGTCCACCTTGTGCTTCTCAGGAAAGAGGCCATGACCCTGAAAATATGGGGGCTGGGGTGGAGGATGTGAGCTCTAGAACAGGACAGGCTGTGCTGAAGGACCCGTGTTCCTATAGTTCTGACTGAGCCTCTGAGCTGCAGTGTTTGTGGTCTGGGTCCTCTTTCATGGTGCTGGGGAATCCAACAAAGGGCTATGCACATGCTGGGCCAATGCTGTGCTGCTGAGCTATGGTTTCTGCCCTTTACAAATTTTCTTCATACAAACAGCGTTACACAGCAAGTGCCTCAATCTTTAGCGGTGGTCACACTCAGCACTGCAGGCGACCTTTACAGAACTTGCCCCGTGGAGTCCAGAGCCAACCTGACGGGTTGGTTGCACAGTCCCTTTACAAGTGGAGAGAGCTGCATCTCAAAGGGTTTAGGGATTCTCAAGAGTGGTCTAGGCCCTGCTCTCTCTCTGTAGTCTTCTAGGGACTTTCTCTGTTCACTTCTGAGCTTTGGGTTCTCAGGGTCTTCCTAGAAGCACTTTAGAAAGTTTTGAGATGAGTGTTTCTGTCTCCCAAGCTTGGCTTGTTAATATGAAAAAAAAAAAAAAACCCTGAGAGATGGGTGGCCCTCACTTGGGTAGACTTGTGCATAGCTCCACTTCCGAGAGGGAGGGCTGTTCTCACCCTCTTGTTCCTGGTGGCACATCTGGTGTGATGGCCCGCCAGCCTTTAGAATCATGACCTGAGGATGACCCAGGAAGCAATTACTTAGAGTCTGGTTATGAGGGAGTTTGGTGGAGTCAGAGGGTCTTGGCCTTCAGTGCCTGCCATGGACAGTGTGAGTATGGGGACCTAGGGCAGGTGTTGGGCATGTTGGAACAACAGTTTTCTTACCTATAGAACCAGGAAAGAAATCAATTCCCATCCAGACTCCCACGAAGTATGCACATGTGTGGAAGCAATGCATAGTGAACTGTACTTGGAGAATGCATACACACCCATTAACTCTTTACTAGAGAGAATACTACACATGCACAAAGAAGGTGAGGTGCCCATTTCCCCACCTCCTGGTCCTGGGCAGTTGCTCTGTGACATCCCATGGGACAGAGCACATCTTCTGTGTGCGTGTGAGTTAGTCACCAGTCTCCTAGTCAGGGCAAATGGGATCATTCTTTGCTTTGCCTTTTATCACTGCTACAAGCGAGGTTCTGCACCCTTCTCTCTGTATTCTCAGTGTGTCCTTGGGTACATCCTCAGATTAGATATTGTGGTACCCTGGGCAAATCCTTCAGTGATGGCCTTTCACAGAGCTGTGTGGCTTGGCTTTCCCATCTGCTGTCTGACAGTTTCTGCCCTCCCCACACTGTACCAATGGAATGTGCTGCTGTACGTCCAGACTTCTGCTAAATGTAGGGATGAGAAATATACGCTGGGCTTACCCCTTGTCTAGGGACCGTCCACTAAGTGATGGACCTTAGATACCAAGATCAGATCTCTTGATGGGCTTGCTTTTACTGCTCTGGGTTAGCAGGCAGAATCAGGAAAGACACCAAGGTATCCTGCCAGCCTCTTGTCTTGTCATCTACACTCTTTGTATGTGCATGCATGTTTAATTCTTTGATAATTTCATATCTGAGTACTGTATTTATATAATTTCTTGTGCTCAGGGTTGACTTTAACTTTTGCACTTTTTAATGATATCATTATCCATTATATTTGTAAATCATTTAGGCATTTGTTCAATGCTACTTTTTATATGCTGATCCGTATACCTGCAAGGAACAGAATGCTGGGTACAGCCTAATATTTGATAGAGTATTTTATCTACAGTTTTCCAGTGGATAGTGGAACTGTCTCTCTGTTTCTCATTCCCTCTATTTGAGTTGTCTAATTCTTCAAATACTTAGGGAAAGTGAGGTAGAAACATCTGGACTCTAGTAGAAAAGATTTTCCCCACTAACTTGCTAGCTTGGGGACTCAGTGGATAAGATGGAGACAGAGAGAGAAGGATAAACATATGGGAGGCTTGCATCCGCCCACATATCCTACAATGTCCTACAATGTGAATTCGGGCTGTGGGTTATGGCAATAACTTCATCTTCTTGAGCCCAGGCACTCTACGGAAAACCCTGGTTTGCCATAATGTGCCATGTTTATAAATCCCATGGGAATCTAGCTTGCTAATATTCTATTAGGATTTGGCAACGATAATTGTATGTGAGTTCCCTTTGCCTCCCGGAAAGCATGTGGAAGCTCTTTCCTTCCCTGGGTTCTGGAGAGTAGAATAGCATTGGAATTCTCCAGTCGCCCAAGGCTCAATATCACTAATAAAATTGTTCTGAGACACTATGGGAAGATGAGCATTTTGATGAGGGAGCCTAAGAAGTAATTTGCAATGTCTTCCATGGTTCCCTGGACTCTCTCACTGTCTGCATCCACGTGGTTCAAACCTAAAAGGGCATATTTCTGCACAGTTACACTTGTGATATAAAATCCAGACATTAGCATCTCTGTTTTCTCCTTAGAGTGGGATGGTCATCTACATTCCTGAGCTAGTCAACTCCAAACACTTTGTGTTGCTAAACCCACAGGTATCTGCTATTGCCCTGAGTTTGAGAACCTTTGCAGAAGGGAAAGATCGAAAGGTTGCAAGGGTCAGTGTGGCTTCAGTTTATCTAAACCATTTTCTTCCCTTTGACATGTGCTCAAGACCCCTGAAGTCCAGAACCTTCTGAGAAGATCATGGCTGATCCCAGTGACAACTCTCTGAGGATTGTTCTGGTAGGGAAGACAGGGAGTGGAAAAAGTGCCACAGCAAACACTATTCTGGGTCAAAGAAAATTTGATTCTAGAATTGCACCCCATGCTGTCACTAAGACCTGTCAGAAAGCATCCCGCAAGTGGAAGGAGAGAGAACTCCTGCTTGTTGATACCCCAGGGCTCTTTGACACCAAAGTCAAGCTGGAAACCACCTGCATTGAAATCAGCAAGTGTGTCCTCCAGTCCTGCCCTGGGCCTCATGCCATCATCCTGGTACTGCGGCTGGGTCGCTACACGGAGGAAGAGCAAGAAACTGTCATTAGGATCAAGGCTATCTTTGGGGAGGCAGCCATGAAGTACATGGTTGTCTTGTTCACCCGCAAAGACGAGCTGGAGGACCAGAGCCTAAAGGACTTCCTAGAAAGTTCAGATACAAACCTAAAAAGCATCATCAAGGAGTGTGGCGACCGCTGCCTGGCCATCAACAACAGAGCAGGGAAGGCTGAGCAGGAAACGCAGGTGCAGGAGCTGGTGGAGCTGGTCGAAGCCATGGTGCAGAGCAATGGCGGCGTCTACTTCTCTGATGCCATCTACAAGGATGCAGAGCAAAGGCTGGAGAGCCAAGTAGCGCTCCTGAGGCGACTTTACACTGAGCAAAAACGGAATGAAGTTAGAATAGTAGAGGAAGAGTGTGCTCTCGGGAAACTCAGCGCTCAGGAAAAAGAGGAGATGATACAGGCAATCAGGGAAAAATACGACCAAAAGATAAGACAAGAAGCAGAGAATAGCATACTCAGCCAGATTGTTGAAGGAATTAAGAAAATTCTTTTGAAAGTGTGGCATATTTTTCGTAAGTAGTCTGTGTATTTTTTCATCCATTCTAAGCATTTCTTCATCTCCCTCCCTCCCATCCTCCCTGCTGTCCCATTCCTTCAGCCACCAGCAAACTTCAGAGATAGCAGAACCAAGAATTCACTGAACCAGAGTAAAGACTCAGTGTCAGGCTCCCAGACCGGGTCACACACTCTGCACTCAGCTCCCTATGCCTGCCCTGTCTTCCCCTCTCTGATGGGCTGAAATGCCTCTGTAGCCATGGCCCGAAATCCACACTGCTCCCTATGCCAGCCTGCCCTGCCCTCCCCGCTCTGATGGACTGAAATGCCTCTGTAGCACGGAGATGTCATTTTAGGAGACCATTGCGTCATCATAGCAGCTCTGCCATGTCCACAGAGCCTGAAGTAGGGGCTCTGAACATGCTCAGATGGGACTGTAAGAGGCACCACCTCGCATGTGCCTTTAAGGACTTGTCTGCAAGCCCTGCAGACAGAAGCCCTGACCCATCCACGGCTCCCACCAAATCTGCTCCATTCCCACTACACCGCAGTTCACACTAGAGGACCCCTTGTTCTGAACAGAACACTTCCAACATAAGGCTACATTGCAAAACTCCAGACTGAGAAGATGTGTTCACCCACTCCTGAGCATGCATTTAAAGAGGTTTGTGGTGAGGAGGAGATGGCTGTTTGTGCAGCGTGAGAATGGCACCCTGGAGCAGGACATGGCACTGTCCCTGCCCAAGCTTCGTCCATGAACTGATCCAAGGAAGTGGCCACTGTCATTACATCATGAACCTTGACCCTCAAGAAAAGGACAGTGACCTAAACCCGACATCACAAATGGAAAACTCACAAGAGACATATCTTTGTGCTTCCTGTGCTGGCAGCTCCCGCCTCTCAGTGAAGTCCCTGTGCTCTCACAACTGCCTCTGGGGGTGTTTGGCTCCGCACCTGTCTCTCCTGTGAAACTTTGACAGCCAGCAATAAGCTGTCCGTTCATAGAAAAACCGCTTTACTTCCCAACGTGCAAAGTCTCGGGATTCAAAGCAAATTTAGTCCAAATTGACACGAAGCAGACTCTTTGTAGAGGAAGCAGGGGGATGACTGTGTGTATTCTGCGTCCTCTTCCCACCACAGGCAACAGAGCCGCCTTCTCTGGAGAGCACGGCCAGCCGGGCTGCTGCGGCGTTTCTTCTGGAAGAGTGGGTGTGGGGGAGAGCAACTTATAGCAATTGATCTTATTGTGAGAGTCGATATTTTCGGGGTGTGTTGATTAAACACCCTCTTAAGTCATAATCCTCACAAAGTATGCCAAGTCAAAGCCTCCCCAAGGGATAGCAGGCTAATGAAGCTTACAAGGGAGCCCTGGAAAACTTGTCAGTAACGCGCCTTTCCATCTCAGCTTGGGATTTTTAAAAATATTAAATCCATTTGTTCTTTTTGCTTTGCAATTTTTATCACATCTTTACCTGCACCTCTTCCCTTCTACAGTATTCTGTATGATTTTGCTAAAAAGTGTGCCTTAACCAAGCCTGGAGGCCTGTGATGCCAGCTAGCTGGAGAGGCTGAGGCGGGCAGATGGCAGGTTGAAGGCATGCCTCAGCTACAGAGCAAATTCAAGGCTGGGTTGAGCAACTCAGTGAGACATTGTCTTAAAATGAGAGGTAAAAAGAGGCCCAGAGGGGCTGGAGAAATGGCTCAGAGGTTAAGAGCACTGACTGCTCTTCCGGAGGTGCTGAGTTCAATTCCCAGCAACCACATGGTGGCTCACAACCACCTGTAATGAGAGCTGGTGCCCTCTTCTGGCCTGCGGGCATACATGGAGGCTGATCACTGTATACATACTAAATAAATAAATCTTTACCCCCCCCCACCAAAAAAAGAGGGCCAGAGATATATTTGTTTAATGCTACAGCCCTTGCCTAGCATTATGTGCTAGGCCCAGGGTTCGATCCCCAGCACTGAAAATAAATATAACTGCTGCTCAAACGGTAGCTACCGGCCACATGAATGCATAGTTAATCATCTGAGCTAAACTGTAGAGCACAGTCTTCTGTCACTCCAGTCGCACAGCCAAACATGGGAGCCTCACGAGCCCTGGGAACACTGTTATCATCGCAGAATGCACGATAAAGCAGAAATTCTTCACAAACAAGGGCTGTGCAAGAAACCACAAGACGGTTGTCAATAGTATCTTAATATGTCTGTGGTCTGAACCATTTCCCAGAATTGCTCTGTACCACAAGAATAAGATGAACTGTTGTGAATCAGAAGTGCGCAGCAGGCCCTGCTGACTCATTTCAGCCGTGCTCTGGTCCTTCTTCCTCACTTCTCTCTTGTATGTGTCGACTTCTATGACCACATGGCCAGACGCTATAGGACACAGGGACAAGGTTCCTTCTAAGTGTGGTGTTACAGGGGCAAGAGTGGAGAGGGTGGGCCAGGAAGATGGTTCCTTGAGGAGGTTCCCACCCCTCTAGTAAGGATGAACCTAGGGCCTCACACGTTAGGTAAGCATTACACCACTGTGCTATATCCCCAGACCCCTTTTTAGTTTTTATTTGGAGGCAGGGACTGCCTAGGCTGCCCTTAAACCCACGATACTTCCTGCCTCAAGTTCCCTAGAGTTGGACACATCTGTGTTTGTTGGGGATATCTTTAAAGCTATGCTGAGACACAGGCTCAAAGGGTGGAAAAAGAGAAATATCAGCATGCCCAACCTATAGGAACGGCCCAGAGACTGGCTTTCCCTCTAACCGGCCAGCTGGCAGTCCCCAGTGTCTGGCTATTGCCCGTGCCCAGAGGTTGCGTCTGCTGAAGAGAGATGCCTCTAGGTTAAGCGTTTTCTCCAGGGGAAGTTTACATTTAATAACCAGCTGATAGAGTTATAAAATCCCTCTTATTCAGTCACAAGATCAGTACAAATTGTAGAGTGCCTTGTGGAGTCTCCATTTGTTGTGACTGTGTCTCAGTCTAACTTGTCTTTGCCCAATCCTGTTCTTTCCTTCCCTTCTCAGCCATAAATTCCAAGACGACTCCCTAGTGGCTCTTTTCACCACCTCTCTGTCTCCCACCTCAACAGCCCATAAGCCTTGGAACCCAGTCTTTACACGCATGCACACGGATACATACACACACAAATACACATATAGGAACAGCATATTTTGCAATACTAATATATCAAAAGAAAAAATCATGTAACTATTCCAATCACCATTAAAACACATTTAAAAATAGCTCACACCTCTGAATAAAAAGCGTTTACTTAGTGAAATAGGAATGAATGAAGTCTGCATGCACTGATTTAAAAATTAATCACTAATAGCCAATATCAGCCTCAGTGATATTAGGTATTCTATTTTTTAAATTTTTCTTTTTTGTTTACTTAAGTACTGGGCATAGAACCCAGGACCTTGGGTATTCTAGGTAAATGCTCTATCACTGAGTTACACCCCTAGTCTTTGGTGTTTTGTCTTGTTTTGAGATGAGGGTCTTTTTTTTTTTTTTAAGACATGGTTTCTCTGTGTAGCCCTGGCTGTCCTTGAACTTGCTTTGTAGACCAGGCTGGCCTCGAAATTACAGAGATCCACCTGTTTCTGCCTCCCAAGTGTTCGGAGTAAGCCATGCACCACCACACCTGGTGAGTAGGGGGTGTTCTTAAGTACCCTAGAATGCTCTTAAATTTGTCATCTCACTGTCTCAACCTGGAAACTAATTTATAGTAAGAGAAATCCTTAAAGAGCAAAAGAGAACTGAAGATTAGCAGTAACCAAGTCTAGGACAGAGTGAGACCTCGGAATCCTAAATCTTCCTTCCCTCCTGTGGCTATGGCAGCGTGTTTGATGCTACTGACCCCGCTGGACACAGACACCCTTGGTCACAGTGCTTGAGTCTATAGGGAAATGCCAAGACCACAGCTGCATGGCAAATGTTTCTGTCTCTTTAAGCCGTCATCATCCGGCCTTTCTCTGGGTTTCCTGATCTCGGGGACCCAGGCCGCCCAGTGACTTCCTCTCTGCTCAGCACCGAAAGACCAAGAGACCTCTTTACTCACTCATGGCTGAAGGGAAGGCAGAAGTTCTCTGGGGCTTCTCTGGGCCACTTTAAAGTCTGTCACCAAGAAAGGTGAGCCTGAGCCTGTGAGCAGGGAGGAGAGGGGGCTGGGCTGTGAGACCCAAGTGTCTGCTGCCTCCACACCGGCATTTTACAAAGCACTGCGCAGGAGCATACCCTGCAATCGCATGCGGCGCAGGCAAGAGCTGGCGTCCAGACGCCTGAGGGGTGGTCTGGGTTTCAACTTGAGCAAGTTCAGAGGAAGTCTTTGAAGTACACAGATTTTTGATGGGCAGATCTTGTTTCCTCCCAAACTTCGTGCATACAGTATGAGAAACCTATTCTAGATCCCATTCCAGGAGCAAAGCGCTGTTTAGAAGATACCATTCCTCAAACTGCACATTCAACAAACGCAGAAGATGCTTCTGTGTCTCTATAAACCATGCCTTCAAGGCCAGTCTTGATGTGCCAAGTCTGCGCCTCTCTGAAGCCTCTTATTCTCACACCTGTATGCGTGTGCATGGGGAGGGGGCTCTAACACACCTCAGAGGAATGGAACTTGGTCATCAAGCCCTGTCCCCACCTGTCATTTAAACCTTTGCTTCCTGATTGAAGTTTGTCCCACTCCAACTATAGGGACCTCACAGTTTTTTCATGTCTACAGTGAAGAGTTGGAGAAATAGCTCATTTTCAAAAGCTGGGTGTGGATTAACCTCATGAGGAACGATTCACTTGTTCTAGCAGAACCACTGAGGATGGGTCCAAAAGATGCGATGTCCAGGGAACACCTAAATATTTCTGAGAAACATCAAGACAAGAAACTAGATAACTCCTGAGCTCTCTTAAGCATGTAGAACTGTTCTTGTTTTATATTCCCAGATAATAAAAGCCATTTGTCACCCAAGATTTCATTCATTGTTTTTTTTTTTCTCTTTGGCTTCCACTCTGAGCTCCGGGGAGTCCTGGGGGCCTGCCCTGGCCTCCCCTGAGTCCATGCACATGGTTCATTTCCCCCATGACAAGGTCTCCAAGCTCCTGCAGAAGTCTTGTTTGCTGCTCTCGGTCTTGTGGTTGCTTCTTCATTTCTGCATCATTTGTGGGAATTTGCTGATTCCCACATTCAGAACAGAGACACAGAACCACACAGTGAGTTCTACTAAAAGCTTTGGGGAGAGGGAAGAGGTGTTAACCCAACCTATTCCCAAAGCCCCTCTAGGGAGACAGGGTGTTGAGTTATGATCTTTCTTTTTCGTGTGTGTGGTGCCCACAGGGGGGAGTGTGGGAGGAAACCCATCACCTAGAGTGGAGACAAAGAGACAGATTCTGAGGTGATGAGAAATGCAGATAAGCACTCTGACAAGAATGTGGGAGCAGAGCTCTCGCCAGAGAAAAGCCAGCAAGGGCTGGAGAGTCTAAATCTGGGGTCTGTGCAGTCACAAACTGAGGCCTGTTCACTGGAAATGAGGCTGGAGCAGCAGACTAAGGGGACACCGTGCTTTGTGCTTAGGGACTCCTGGGACCAGGCACACGTGACCAGAGCGTGCTTGGCTGTATCAAATAACTGTGCAGTCAGAACATCTTTGGTGGAAGGGAAGTTTCTAAAGAGAAGGGCTCAGAAACTCATAAGACAACTTCGTGGAGCTGGTTCTTCCATCCATCTTTACTGGCTCAGGAGAGCCAGCTCAGGTTGTCACTAGCACTGCAACCATCTTTCTGGTCCCCCGGAAACTATTCTTCAAAAATCCAGATGCTCTCGATAAGAAGGAACAGCAGATTTTCCTGTGGTGACAAAAGGCACCCACCATGTCTCTGCTCACCTGGCCTCTAAAGCCTTGTTTTGCTTTGCAGTGTCCCTGCTCTTTAGACTTAGCCTGACATTGTGGTTGGTTTTGCCCGTCTGCAGGAAGGAGCGCATGAATGAGGAAATTGTGACTGAGAGTCCTGAGAAGCATGGGAGGAAGGAAGATGGCAAGAGACGAGGAAAGCACCTATGGTAATAGCCCTTCTCTCAATGCATCCCGGCTGGTGTGGGCGCTAAGGGTAGGAAGTGGGTGGAGCTTCCTCAGATCTGGAAGCCCCTGGGATAAAACAGCAGGACCCATTTGACTGTGTCTCTGCCCCTGCCCTGCTGAGAGAAGCTCACAGCTTTGACCCCCCTCCCCCATCACTGGTTCCCACAGCATGAAGAAGGATCCTAAACCTACTCTGGTCTCCACAAAAATGACACAGAGGATGGGAAACCCAGGACTAGAGTGAGCCTCACTCACCAGGTCTCCAGTGTTAGAATAGAGGGCTACCTGCGTATTTAGTATTTGGGGGGTCAGGGAGATGACTATGGGTAAAGGCACAAGCAGCCAATCCAGATAGGTTGACTTCAACCCTTGAGCCCACCGATGCAAGGATGGAACTGAGTTCTGAAACTCGACCTTTAGCCTCCACAGGACACAGTGGTATGGTGTCCCCATAGATAAAATGTAACAAAATATTATCTAAAGCGGGGCTTTCTCTTAAGGAGCCAGCTTAAGACAAGAGAGGAGAAAGAGGGAAGCGGGTGAACTCTCCTCTCTAACAGCCCAGGGAAAGGCCCACATTGTCTCCACTTCCATAGGAGAGGTGTGCCCTAGCCTGAGCACTTCCTGCTCTTATACAATTACTTGGTGGGCTGCGATCCAACCTGTGCCTGGGACTGAGGGTCTCCCCTGTGCTTGATGACCAGCATCTGTGGGGGAAACATTAGGGTCAAAACAGCATCAGGTCGGCCTGTGTGTGCAGGACCAGAGATCCTGGTAGACCCAGGAGTTATAATGGACTCTTTCTGAAAGGCAGCGGGAGCACCTACAGGTGCAGAGAATACAAAGGCAGAGAGGGAAGATGGGGAGGAGCCTGAACTCTGAGAGCCCAGAGCAGATGGGCGCACCAGCTTCCAAGGGGAGCAGGCACTGTGGTTCGTTCCCTTTAGGGCTGAAGTTTAGGACATAGGCGAGTCCCAGGGAAAAGCCGTGTCTCTGACTCAGTGTTGCCCTATCTGGTCCTCAGGCTTGGAGATGGATTCACAGATCCCAAAGGGGCCCCCACTGAGGCTCATCCTGGTAGGTAGAACCGGAACCGGCAAGAGTGCCACTGGTAACACCATCCTGGGCCGGATGTGCTTCGAATCCAAGCTGGGGGCTGTGCCTGTTACCAGATCCTGCTCCTGGGCCAACAGGAAATGGGCCGGCTGGTATGTTGAGGTGGTGGATACCCCGGATGTATTCAGCTCTGAGGTCAAACAGACCGACCCTGCGTGCTTGGAGACAGCCCACTGCTTCCTACAGACGTCACCCGGGCCGCACGCGCTGCTGCTGGTCACCCAGCTGGGTCGCTTCACCACTCAGGACAGCCAGGTGCTCGCCAGGGTGAAGCGGGTGTTCGGGGAGCAGGTGATGGCGCGGACTGTGGTGGTGTTCACTCGCAAGGAGGACCTGGCAGGAGAGTCTCTGCAGGATTACGTGCGATGCACAGACAATCGCGCGCTGCGGGAGCTGGTGGCTGAGTGCGGGGGCCGCGTGTGCGCCCTAAACAACCGAACCACTGCCCGCGAGCGCGAGGCACAAGCTGAAGAGCTGCTGGGCCTGGTCGCTGGCCTGGTGAGGGAGCACGGGGGCGCGTACTACTCCAATGAAGTGTATGATCTGGTGAGGACCCTGCAGGGGTCTAACCCCGAGGACCAAGTCAGCAAGGTGGCAGAGATGGTGGCAAGACGCATGCAGAGGCCCCTGCGCACCAGGCTGCTAACTGGGCTGTGGGACTGGCAGAAATCTTACAGGAAGAGCTGGAGACGGGGCGTGGCTATTTTCCTGGGTGTGGCCTTTCTGATCTACCTGCAGGTCTACAGAAAGACGCCTCAGGCCATTGGGGACCAGAATAGCAGATAATGCTGGTCTTAGAAGATGTTTTAACTAGGAAGAAAATCTTTTAAAAAAGGAATACTTAGATCTCTGCTCAGAGCTCGCAGTACTGTGGGAAACACGGTATCAGCTTTGCAAAGGCTTCGGAGGTGATGAGTCTCAACTTTAACTACTAGAGTTTAAAAAAAAATAAAATTTGTCTAACTAAAATTTTCCTTTAGACCTTTTCATCATCCCTGTGTGTCAGTCTTCCCTTAAAACAACAAATACTCCTGGTAGCTTGTAAATGGGGACAAAATCATAACACAAAGAGAACAAGCATTTTCTTTTCTTTTTAAAACTTATTCTTTGGTAATTTCATATAATAAATTTGGGTCATATCCTCTCACTTTCCCCAAGTCCTCCCAAGTCCCCACCACCTCCCTCCTCTCAGAACTCCATGGTTTTTTGTTTGTTTGTTTGTTTTATGTCTTAACAACAGCACAAAGCAGCATTTGTTGGCCAATACTTCTGAGCATGAGACCTGCCCTGGGGTGTGGCTGATAGACCCAGTGTCACTTCATTGAAGAGAATCCATTTTCCTTCCCCCAGGAGTTAAAATTTGTGACTAGTTTCTTGGTTGGAGGGGGCATTTATGTCTGGCTTACACTTGCTCGGGTGTTGGGCATTCCGCCACAGCCTCTGTGATCACGTGTGCACCTGCCCTGTTGTGTCTAGAAAGTTGTTTTCCTGAAGTCACCCAGCAGCTGAGGCTCTTAGAGTCCCCCTGCCTTCCCTACAGAGATCTCTAACAAGATAGCGGCCAGGGTCTGGAAACTGGCTCCCTAATTAACAGTCACGAGGACAGAAGGGTCACCGCCTGCTTTCTAGAGAGCACAGGCACGTGGCTTCTTTGGGCTTAATTTGTTTCTCTGTGAAAATAGATATCGAGTTTGGAAGCTATCAAAATTTTTTTTTATTTTTTTTCTTTAAACAAAGGGATTATTTCAAGATGGGCTTGATGGCACATGCCTGCGACTCAGGAGGCAGAGGCAGGAGGATCGGGTGTTCCTAGCTCAGGGCCCTGGGTTCAATTTCTAGTCTGGGAGGGTGGTATTAATGTGTGAACTCTTGACAGTTAGGTTTCTGAGAGATTCTGGCTTTGTCTGAAGAGTTACAACCTGCCAGGATGGAACAGGGTCTGTTGATTTCCTCCCTGCCTCCCACCCTGCCCTAACAAACCGAACCAAACTCATTCCAGCGCTGTCTGCTAGGTTGAAACTACATGAAAATGTAAAAGCCAAGGGGTGAATAAATATCAAAATGAGAAAAAACTCTAACAGGAGCAGAACCATCCATCAGAATTCTTTTGCTATTCCTTCTTTCGTTCTTTCTTTTCTCTCTCTCTCTTTCAAAAAAAAAACCAAAAAACAAAAAACAAAACAACAACAACAACAACAAAAAAACACACACCAGAAGCTCTTAGACCCCTTTGTCCTTCTTATCCCCCTTTGCTTTGAGATGTTTATCTTTTAAAATCCATTTTTCCTCTCCAGGTGAAGAGCAGAAGGAGCTGGTGGAATGCAAACATCGGAGAAGGTCAGACCCTGCTCCTCAGGGACACGGGCTCTAACTTAGGTTGAAGCCCTCTCCTCCCATCGCAGACCTTCCTCTTGCCCGAAAGACGTGGGGAGCTTATTTCCCTCTGGCTAAAGACACAGCTGGTCACTACCAATTAGGAGAAAGGACAGTGACACTAATAACAAGGCTACCACATCCTCTGGAGGAAGAGCTATGGCTTCTTATTAGACTGTCTCACTCTGTGGCCTAGGCTGCCTTCTAACTCAAGGCAATCCTCCTGCTTCAGCTCCCTGACAAACAATGATAAGAAAAAGCCACCATGTTCAGCTTGAGTTATGTCTTTTCTTGAAAATGGATGCAGAGGACTGCATCTATCTGGTTTTAAACTCTGCCCACCATCCCACCTCAACGCAGTCTCTTAGTGTGTCTCCTCCTCAGCTCCCCTGAAATCCTAGTATCCATAATCTAAAGCCAAGCACACTTCCTGCCAACAGAAAGCATCATGGGGGAATTCTAAGATGAGAACCACCTGCATAAGCCAGAGCTGGGTTTTATGCTCAAGGTTCAGTACTTAACAGGCGCAGTCAGGTAAAGAAATGCTCCACACAGCAGAGAAGAGGCAGTCAGCACCCAGTCTCATATCTGACTGAGCTCAGATGCCCTTTGAGGGGGCTGTCCAGGCCCTCTGGGACCAGCAGTGCTTTTCTGCCCCCGTTTAGGGGACCCGTCTAAAGACAAAGTGGTCACGTCGGGCCCAGGGTTTTGGGGGCGAGCAGATGCTCACCTTCAGTGCTAATGGGGGAATCCGGGGCCCAGCACTTCCACTCTTAAGAGGGCTTTCTGGAACCTGGGGGACGGGGCTGTTCTCCACCTCCCAGCTTCTGACTCCCAGTGCTTTGTGTGCTCAGACCTTCCTGAAGAGGAAATGAGTAGGGGAGGGTGGCCTGTCAGCTTTTCACAGGAAGCGGCCATTTACCACTGCAGCTCTGCTGTGTTCTGGCGGATTTCAGGTCAGCGTTCAAGGCCTTTTCCCCGACTTTAGGGGACAGCCTGCGGGGCAGTGGCATGTGTCACCGTGTTTTTTTTTTTTTCTTCTTTTCCTGACTCTGGAGTTACGGCTCTGCGAGTGGCCTTTCTGTGAGAGCATCATCCAGCAGGCACAGGTCCTCTGCCTGCTGGCAAGTGACTCACACTGGTGACTGGAGGCTGAGCCCTGCTGGCCCGGGTAAGGAGGAGGCTCTGACAGCCACTTGGGGACTGGGAGGACCAACGGGGACCTGTTCTGCTCCTCTTTAGTGGGCCCTCAGGCGAGCTCTGGTACTTTGGGTCCCCTGGACAGTGAAGTGAGCATCAGCAACAGCACATGGGGGGGCAGAGCCCCGAAATTTCCATGCCACCATCCCCAGACCCATGGGGATGCTGGGACTTTCCGCCCCATTGCCTGCGCCTTTTTGAAACCCTCGGTTTAACAAAGCTGAACCAATGTTCTTTCTTCTTCTACAGGAGGGAAATTAAAGTCCCAGCGCCTAGGTTTTCCCAAGACACCCAGCAGGTGGCGAACCCTTCTCCATTTTTACCCCAGACTCCTCAAAGCCCACTCAGGTCAGACAGGCTTCACCCCTAGGAGGTCAGCATGGGGCCTTAAGGCTCTACAGACCAGGGTGGAATCTCCATGTTCCCTCCATCATGATCCAGTCCTCCCCTAGAAGGCCAATCAGTGAATTCTATCTCCTGACCTCATTCTGAAACCACCCTATTCTTCCCAGTCTGCGTAGCTCATACCTTTCCTATAACACAGCCCAAGACACTGTGGCAGGCCAACAGCCGTGAGTTCAAGACTCCTGTGAGCGCTCCCCTTATTAGCTGAATTTTACGGGAGAGGGTGGTTTTCCTGGACTCTGGGTTACTAACCTGCTCTGTGACTCCACGACCTGGATATAAAGGCGAGGGGAGAGGCCGATGGGTGGAGCAGATGTCACTGGAGATGTTTTTGTTTATTTTTAGTTGTGTCAGAGAGTGCAGCACACACCGGTGCTATAAGACACTTGTAGAGGTAGGAGGACAGCTTTCTGAAGTGTGTCAGTGCAGCACACACCAGTGCTACAGGACTCTTGTAGAGGTAGGAGGACAGCTTTCTGAAGTGTGTCAGAGAGTGCAGCACACACTGGTGCTATGGGACACTTGGTAGAGGTAGGAGGACAGCCTTCTGAAGCAACTTCTACCCTTCTACTTGGTGCAAACAGCATCTTTCTTGTTGCTGCTACACCAGGGGCTTGCTGGCCTGACTGCTTCTGGGCAAGTCTCCTCTCTTCACCGGCTGCCTCACTGTGGGAGACATTGGGATTGCGGATGCAGGCAAGCATCTCCAGCTTTTCGCTACTGTTCTGGGCCTCAGAGTCGAGTCCTAGCTTGTGCAGCTGTTGCTCTGCCCCTGTGTCATAGCTGCCAGCCTGGTTCTTACGCATCAGGAAGCCAGAAACACCGCCTCTCAGAAAGTGGCTTCCTGATCTGTGTTCTCACTGCGGGGTAAAATAAAGCATTCTGATGAATCAGCTCGGCTGGCGTCACACAAGAATGTTCATTTCGTGTGTTTGCTTCTGCCTGCTCCCTGAGTGACACCTGCCCCCTGGTCACCCACTGCCACTCCGTGCTGCCTGCCAATCTCCTGTGGCCTCTGCACCCACCTCTGAAATTGGCAGAATTTTCTTTTTGGAGCAGAAATCCATGTCCACTCTCGATTGCCCCACTGTTGTGTGCTCTGCAGGCTGACAGCCACAGCATCAGTTCCTGTCCCTCGCACGCCTGCCCCTCCCCTTCCTTTTCCTAGGCTGTTGTCAGTCTCTTTCCTGTGTGACCATTTCAGTGTCTCCTTCTCATGCGCCCTGTCTCATCTCTGGGCATGTAGACATTTGCTTATATCTGTCAATCAATCTGTCCTTTAGTGGGACATATGTCTCCTGTAGTCCGTCTGATTTTTTGGAAACCGATTCAGAACTTTCCTACTAATGTTGCTGAGTTGGGTTGTGACAGCCACATTGCACATAAACCAGGTTCTAACGAAATCCTTCAAAACAGAGCAGACACCCCAGGTGGGTCCAGGACAGAAGGCTTATTGATTTATTAGGAATTATCTTCCCCAACTCCCCATTGGGTGAGAAGTCCAAGAGACACAGGCAAAAAGAGCTACTTGGGGAGAGTTAGCTCTAAGGCAAATGTGTGACTCTGGGCAGCCTTGCCAGTCCTCCTGCCCTCCTTCCTCTCAGGTCAGTTCTTGGAGGAGTTGCCAGGGAAAGCCTGTTGTATTTGTCTCTTTGCCTCTGGAAGATTTTCCCACGCTGGAAATGCCCAATACTTCAAACAAACCAATGTTATTCACAGCACAGCAATTATTTTCTCTATCCTGGCAGGTCGTCTACTTTGGTTCAGGTTTTTTTTTTTAAGTCTAGTTCTTGCTCATAACAGAATGCTCCAGACATTTTATACTTCCAGCTTGGTGGAGTGTAGAAACCCTACACCTGTCTTAAGGCACCGCACTACAGGACCATTTGCGAGCCGGGCAAGGGCCTGGAGATAGAAACACACAAGCATTCACAGACTGAGACACAGGTCATCCTTGAGGCCAGAATGCCCGCTTTATTGTGTCCAGGGGCAGCTTATATAGGGATCCTTAACAGATAGCCATGCCCCAGCCAAACCCACTAGAAACCACTCCCCTGCCATCAGGAACTCCTGAGGGTCTCGTGCTCAGGGCAGCTGCAAGCATTACAAGTTGTTTACCAGAAATTCAGGATCTGGGGGGTTCACCGCTCCCAACAGTGGAGAAGATCATTCGTTCATCTGCAAAAAAACGCCTGCTTTCCCATGAGCGAGGAGGAGCAATAGCACACTGTGCTGCGATGCCCCTGCCTCACTCCAGCCAGTTATTTATGAATGTTTGCAGTCAGCATAGGTGCGAGAGTTAGCCGTGGAAATGGCCATGCGAGGACAGTTACTCCAAGCTATCTGAGTCAAAGCACCTTGCCAGTTCCCATGTGGACGTGACTTTAATTCTTTCCTGATTCGGTTCCAGAAGAAATGGAAGGCCTCCGGAAGAGCACATATGGAGCCATAGTTGAAGGTAAGAAAGCACCAAGGTCCTGAAGGGACCGAGACCCAAAACAGGTTCAGACACTCACTGCCGTTTGTTCCCTGTGTCTCCAGATCTCTGTGTCCAAGCCGCTGCTGTGTTCATGTACACATATGCACACACAGGCATATACATACACACGCACAGAGACACGCATGCACACAGACTCACATGCTTGCAAACACACATGTGCGCACACACTCCATGGTGACACTCTCCTCCACACGATGTGGTGAAACGTGATTCTGACACACGTTCAGGGTTAGAAGGGCCTGCAACTAAACAGCGACAGAGTTTCTCTTTCTTCCCTCATCTCCTCTCAGAAGAGAGAGAGAGAGAGAGAGAGAGAGAGAGAGAGAGAGAGAGAGGGAGGGAGGGAGAGAGAGAGAGAGAGAGGAGGGAGGGGAGGAAGGAAGTTGCCCTAAAGTGATTATGTCTTACAGAACACCCCATAATACTAAGGGAAATTAAAACCAGCACAGAGTAAAGGGAATCAGTTCTATTTTGTTTTCTGTGATACTGAGAATTGAGCCCGAGCCTTACAATGTCGGATGGGCACTCTACCACTGAGCCATCCTCAGCTTTCCCTTAAATGACAGACTTTTAGGAGTGTAAAGGGCACTTAAAACTCATTTGGACTCATGGGACAGCCCCCTGTCCTCATCCCTTCAAGGCTGGAGATCTGAGCTCTTGTCTTCATGGTGTCCCTCCATTGCTCCTCTTGTTACAGGCCCTGGGCCACGCCCAGCAGTAGATGGCCTTTCTAGCATGTCTGCTTCCGATTCTAACCATCTTCTCTCCCACCCTTCTGCACCTGCCCACTTGTATCATTTCCCTGATGTTAACTGTCACCGTCCCCCACCTCAAATCCAAGTGCCCCCTTTGCTTCCTAGGCTAATCCAGCTGTCTCTGAGTGTGAGCCACGGCAGCTTTTCCACCTGGAGTGACCTCGGGGTGGGGGTGGGGATAAGCTGAGCACATTCACACAGTATGTCTGGAGCATTGTGGGTAAAAGAGGTGGCTGTCAGCCATGACTTCATCTCTGCCTCCTCCTTAACTAATGAATATTTATTTCACAACCAGTTTTCTGGGGAGCTGCCCTGAGCATCCCCAGAATGAGCACAGGGACCTTTTCTTCAGTAATGGCACATTTGTTGTGGTCCAGACGGAACAGAAGCTCTCCTTCCTGTGGCAGTACCACCCATGTACTAGCCCATGTGTCCTAGAATGGGCTCCCAACAGGGACTTCATGAAAGCCAAGGACCACCTAAAATTACAGGCAAACAGCTGGGAGCATTTGAATGGCACCTATTTTTCTGGGAATGAGGACAATTGGTTTCAGGAGATATCCGCAAGGACCCAGTACGTCAAAGCCTGAAGACTTGCTGAGTGAGGCACAAACCTACTTTCGTCCACAGGGAGCAGGGAAGCCTACTGTGGAGCAGAATCGGGCAGCCTGAGGATCCTCCTGGTGGGTAAATCTGGCTGCGGGAAAAGCGCCACAGGGAACAGCATCCTCTGCCGAAAAGCATTTGAGTCCAGGCTTGGAGCCCAGTCAGTGACCAGGACCAGCCAGGCAGAGACGGGCACATGGAAGGGAAGGAGACTGCTAGTGGTAGACACGTCCCCCATCTTTGGGTCAAAGGCCCAGAACCAAGACATGGACAAGGACATTGGAGATTGTTACCTGCTGTGTGCCCCAGGACCCCACGTGCTGCTGCTGGTGACCCAGCTGGGACGCTTCACAGCTCAGGACACCCTAGCCTTGAGGAGGGTGAAGGAGATCTTCGGGGCAGGAGTCATGAGGCACACGATCGTCCTCTTCACCCACAAGGAAGACCTGGCAAATGAGACTTTGGATGAGTTTGTGACCCACACTGATAACCACAGCCTGCGCAGCCTGGTCCACGAGTGTGGGAGGAGGTACTGTGCCTTTAATAACAGGGCCTCAGGGGAAGAGCAGCAGGGACAGCTGGCAGAACTCATGGCCCTGGTGAGGGGGCTGGAGCAGGAGTGTGAGGGCTCTTTCCATAGCAACGACCTCTTCCTTCATGCCCACGTGCTCCTTAGCGATGGCTGCCGTGAGTACCAGGAAGCCTACAGGTGCTACCTGGACAAGGTGAGGCAGGAGATGGGGAGGCAGAAGCGGGAGCTGGAGGAGCAGGAGGGCAGCTGGGTGGCTAAGATGCTTTGCAGAGTCAGGACATGCTCGTGCTCCCAAATCGCAGCCGCCGCCCTTCTTATTGGGTGTGGTTTGATTTTTATTGGCATTTTAATTAACTTTTATGTTAACCAGTGGAACTGAGCCTTTTCAGGTGATTTCTGCCATCAGCGCCCTCTCCCAAGGTTCGCATTTCTGTCTGCACTGGGGTACCTCAGTTTCACGCTCATCTGAATCTTTTGAATCAAGTATGAAAGAAAAAGAACGTATTTCTTAAGTTGTGAGGGTGAATCAAGTAGTTCCATCATAAAGGCCCGGGTGCTAATATTCAGGCATCTGCACTGGCCGGCCCTTAAAGTCCTGACAGGCTGCTCCTCAACTCCGCCCACTAAGAACACCCCCATGCACATTCGTCATGTTCCCTCATAAAAGTCAAGCCTCGTCACCTCCTGTCTCCTTCTCTTCCACCACTCTTGTCCCCAGCGACCAGTCTCTGGCCCTCTCTCTGCCCCCTTTCCTGACCCTTCTTTCCTCTTCCAAAAAACCGCCACGGTGAGCCCTGCTGTATGGCTTTACTCCTTCCTGCTGACTTTTAAACTATAATATTGGTGTCGGACCCGCGGCAGGCTCTTCTGGGCTTCCTCTTGCCCACTGGCAGCCTGAGGCCTGCCAAGACCCCGGATCCCGGTCCACAGATGACAGCCTCACTTGTCCAACTAACAGGTTGTTTAGTCCCGCCTACCAAAATGGGCGTGATTGGTGAGCCTCCCGTTGTCTGGCCATTCCCCACGAGTGAGGATTCGTCTCTCCGCCGTGGTTTCTCACCTCTGGAACAAGCCCTGATATCAGGCAACCCATGTGTCTCTTGGGGCTCAGCACGCCATGGGCCCTGGACCTTTGGGTTATGACTCACTGGCCAGCTTCTGCCTTCTCAATCAATCCATTCGGAACTCCTGAACCCTCTGTTCATTTTTTCTCCTTTTAGACTAAGAAAACAACACGCCTCAAACATTTTGGGTTGGTAAGGACTTTGTATGATGATAGAAATGTAAAGTTATATGTCATTCAACTCTGGTTTAGAATATACTCTATATCGTGATAAAAATTTAAGGTTATAAAAGTCAATTCAGAAGGTAAACTGTTTGAGAAGAGGAAAGATATGAACAAGAGTGGGGAGGGATAAGAGATGGTGTTGGGGACTGAAAATGAACAAAATTATTATATAAATGCATGAAAATGTCATAATAAACCAAGTATTATGTATAACTTATATATGCTAATAGGATGAGCAATAATAAAACTTTAAAAGAAGTTAAAAAAATTAAGGTCTATTCAGATTAACAAAAGCTGACTTAGAGATTTATACCTAAGTACTTACATCTTTGCCAAGTGTTCAACACCAAGCTTCCAGAGAACTTAAATAAGTGATGTCATATGTTTGATAAATAAGATTTGATAAACAAGATATATATTCTATAATGGAATTTCTGGTCTCCCGAGAGGGTCTTTTTCCCAGAGCTGGGCATTTGGGCGGAGGCCCCCATGGCTTGCCAAGGGCAATGCTGGCCTCTGTGCTCCCTCAGTCCCTGCTCACAGGCCCCTTTCTCCTGTTTCCATGTGGCCCTGGTGATCTTTCCCGTCCCTTTTCCTGTCTTCTCAGGAGACAGCCTTACGAGTGTGGCACAGATTTGTTCTGTTCCCCTTTTTACTATCGACTGCCCTCAGTCATCAACCACCTGTCTCCTGGTATCGGATGGAAAGAGGGTGTGAGCTGATGCTGTGGGGATGGGGAAGGACCAGGGGCTTTCAGGTTTGTTTATGTGAAGACGGGAAAGCATAAGTGCTGACAAGGAGAAAGAGATCTGAGATGTATAAAACAATGAAACATGTTCCAGATTTCTCTCTCTTGCTCTGTTACTGTCTACAATCTTGACATTAATTGATGGAATTCTGGTAAGCTATCAGTCTAGCTCTGGCGGAGCACTAAACATTATACTCTACCACTATAGTATCACAGCCACAAGCTCAGGGTTTCAAATTCTCTTTGGTTGCTTTCTAATGTGTCTAAAACTTATCTCTGTGTAAATTCAAAGTTCTCGTGAGCTCCAGGGAGTCGCCTTAAACCCACTTCAAACAGCATTTTGCCAGGTCCACGTGATGCCTGACTGTTATACAGAGACTGGACAGTGAAGTGAAACAGACACCCCAGGGTATGGCCAACACCCCAGATATTCCAGGTCCCCAAAGGTGGCCAACACTGCCCCCCCAGGTCAGCAGGAAGCAGTCTCGAGAACATGGCATTCTCATCCCTGCTATCGCTTTCTAACTCCTCACCTTTTTATAATAAACAAGAAGGAGGAATGTTAGTATTCAGGCATCTGGACTGGCCTGCCCTTGGGGTCCTGACAGGATGCACCCTCAGCTGCAGGCACTAAGAGCACCCCGTGCACATTGGCTAAGTTTCCTTATAAAAGGCAGGCCTTATCCACCTCCCGTCTCTTCCTCTTCCACCACTCTTGCCCCCAGAAACAGATCTCTGTCCCACTTTCTGCCCCTTCTCTGTCCCCTTTTTTGTCCCTTTTCTCTCCTTTTCCAATAAAGCTCCCATGTGAGCCCTGTTGTATGGTGTGACTCTCCCTCCCTCTGTTTTCAAAACTATAACACTGGGGACTTTCAAAAAGGAGGGTGTTTGGACTGTGTAGCAATGGGTGTGTCTCACCTAGTGCCCCACTTCCTACAGAGGGGATGTTAACACACAAAGCTGAGGACAGAATCTTATTTTAGTCATAAGTCCACCCTGATCTCATTATAGCTGTAAAAGTCAGGTCTCCGTCCTCTTCCCAGCCCCAAGAAAGGATAAGGACAGTGTTTACGAAGCAGAGGGAGCTAAGGTATACAAGAGAATGGAGTCAAGAGGCCTGGGCATGAGTGGGGAACGGAGTGAAGAGGCTACAGGATCAGGGTGGGTCTCACCCCAGGGATTGCAGGGTCGTCAGTCAAGAAACACAGAAACCAGAAAGTCTAAATTCAGTAATACAGAGAGCCAGAGGGTGGGTGTCTTGGGCGTGGAAGACTGGAGAGTACAATATAGCTGCTCGACACCACATGCAGGCAAAAGCCACTATGATCAAGAGGCTGTGTGCTCATAAAACTTGGTGAGCACTGAATTTTGAATTATATGTAATTTTCATGTGTGAAACTAGAACATTATTTCCTGAATTCTTCAACCATTAGAAAAAGGTGAAAATGAGTTGGTTTAAGGGTTTAAGATCACATATTGCTCTGCTGGAGAAGCAGTGTTTGAATTCCAGCACCCACCACCAGGCAGCTCACAACAGCCTGTTATTCTAGCTCTGGGTGATCCAGTGCCCTCTTCTGGCCTCCACAGGCACTGCACTCACATGTGCACACACAAACAAAAATAAAATTAATCTTTTTTAAAAATGTGAAAACCAGGTTGGGAAGATGAATTCAGGTGGGTGGGCAAAGTGCTTGCCAAACAAGTGTCCACATAAAATCCAAGCTCAGTGTTGCACGTCTGTAATTCCAGAACTGGGGGGGGGAGGGGGAGACAGGTGGATCCTGGGGCTTTCTGGCCAGCCAGTCTAATGGAAAAGGCAGCACCATGGTCAGTGAGAGAAATGCCTTGGAAGAAAGCTATCCAATGAAAGAACTCGACAATGAGAACTGTAAAACAGAGAAAGAAACTGAAGAAACCAAAAGATGAAAGGATGGATCATATCCACGAGCTGGGAGAATGAATGGCGTGAAAATCTCAATACTGCCAAAACCAGCTCGCAGGTTCAATACAGTCTTCATCAAAAGTTCAGTGGTCTTCAAAGAAATAGAAAAAAATAACATTCTTATGGAAGGAAAAATATTCCAGAGAGTTAAAGAATAATTCTGAGCAAAAGAACAGTGCTGAGGGTTTCAATAACCTGATCTGAAACTATCCTACAGAAACATAGTAACAACAATAATAAAAATCCCACAAAACCCAAAACCAGATACACAGATCAATGGAATAAAATAGAGGACCCAGACACAAATTTGTGGGTTTTTTTTTCCTTTATTCTTTGGGAGGTCTACCACTCAGCTCCCAAATAATTACACCGAGACTTATTCTTTCTTATGAACGCCCAGCCTTAACTTGTCTTATTTCTAACCAGATTTTTTTCTTTTTAAATTTTTTATAATTTATTTTTATTTTATGTTCATTGGTGTTTTGTTTGTGTGAGGGTGTCAGATCTTGCAGTTACAGACAGCTGTGACCTGCCTTATAGGTGCTAGGAATTGAACCTGAGTCCTCTGGAAGAGCAGGTTAGTACTCTTTACTGCTGAGCCATCTCTCCAGCCCTAGCCATCTTTTCTTAAATTATTCCATCTACCTTTTGCCTCTGGGTTTTTATCTTTCTCTATTCAATATAACTTTCTTTACTTCTTAGTCCATGGCTTGCTGTGTAGCTGGGTGGCTGGCCCTGGGTATCTTCTCTCCTCCTTTTCTCTTGCTCCACTCTCTTCTCTTTTTCTTATTCTATTCATTCTCTCTGCCTGGCAGTCCCATCTGTCCCTCTCCTACCTAGCTATTAGCCATTCAGCTCTTTATTAAACCAATTAGGTGGGTTTTTAAAAAATATTTATTTATTTATTATGTATGCAGTATTCTGTCTGCCTGCAGGCCAGAAGAGGGCACCAGACCTCATTACAGATGTTTATGAGCCACCATGTGGTTGCTGGGAATTGAACTCAGGACCTTTGGAAGAGCAGGCAATGCTCTTAACCACTGAGCCATCTCTCCAGCCCCCCAATTAGGTGTTTTAGATAAGTGAAGTAACACAGCATCCCAGAGTTAAACAAATGCAACATAAAAGAACATATTTTTGCATCATTAAACAAATGTTTCATAGCATAAACAAATGTAACACATCATCAACTAATATTCCACAACACAAACCCACAAATCCACACATGTAACCTTTGAAAAAAAAGAAAAAAAAAAAAAAAAAAAAAAAAAACCAAAGCAAAACAAAACAAAAAACACAAAAAAACACCCATACATCAGAGAAAAGAGAGCAAGTGATGCTGGGAAAGCTGGGTATCCTTGTGTAGAGTAATAAAGCTGTGTCCCTGCCTCCCAGGCTGTGAAATCAGCTCAACTGCGTGATCTTGATGTAAGAGCTAAAACTGTAGAAAAAGTAAGGGAACTATTTCAAGATTCAGGTAAGGGGTTTCCGCAAGGGCTCTGGTCACGCTGGAAACGGTGTCAATGATTAGCAGATGGGGTTTTATGAAATTCAAAAGCTTCCATGTGGTATAAGAAACAATCACTGAATGAGTAGAGACAGCCTTCTAAGTGGGGCAAAACCTTCACAGCTATTCATTTGCCATAGGATTAAGATCGAGATAGACCAAGAACTCAGAAAAGAAAGAAATCAGATGAATACCTAGAAACAGCTAGAATTTGATAGAAAGAAATCCAACAGCACAGCCGATAAATGAGCTAACACACAGACTCTTCTCAAGATGGGCTACAAATGACCAATTAGCACAAGAAAAATGTCTGCATCACTAACCATTTGAGAAATGCAAATTTCTTGGGTGTTGGAAGGATGGCTTGGAGGTTGAGTGTATGTTTCAGAGGACCAGAGTTGGTTTCCCAGCACTCACTCTCAGCTGCCTGTAGCTCCAGGGCCAAGGAACCTGACACCCTCGGATACTGGTGGGGATGTAAACTCGTCCAGCTACCACGGAAATCAGCATGAAGCGTCTTCAAGACACTAAAAATAGATAGCACGTGCAATCCAGCTATAGCATATAGAATGAAATACACCTGACTTCCTCAGTTTGGGTCCAGTGTTTCCATACCGCCTTCCGCTTCTTCCTTTGGGAATGTGAATGATTGCTGTGTGTCACAGTGTGGTGGAAGTTGCAACATGAAATGTATAATAGCATATTCATCCAAGACTCCAGGTCAACACAGCACAGAGACAGCCACACATCAGTGTCTATGGCAGCACTGTTAATAACAGATCAATTATGGAACAACCTAAGTGGTCTAAAATGGGAGAATGCAAAAATAAATGTGATAATATATAAACACAATGGAACCCTTTCATGTTTATTTTTGAGAATTTCTAGTATGACAGCTATAGTTACGTCATTTCTAACCCCTCCAACTCACATCCATGTCTTCCCTATTTCCTCTCAACCTCATGACCTCTTATCCTGTATTGTACCTATATACCCGCATGTACACACATGCACACATAAGTATTACCTGCTGAGTCCATGCATCATGGTTAATATGTGTATGTGTTTAGGGATGACCACATGGGATTGATAACCTATTGGGAAGTTCATCCTTGGAGAAGACCGCCTCTCTCTTAGTACATTACAGTTACCTAAGCAAGACCTGCACACAACACCTATGGACAACACAACAGGATTTTAGTTAGCTATGAAAAACAATGACATTGTGTCATTTGAAGGAAATAGATGCAACTGGAGTCAATTATATTAATTAAATTAAGTCAGTTTCATATTGAATACCTTCTCTTTTGTGGATTCTAAATTTTTATATAATAAATAAAAACACATGCATCATCTGACAGGGAAGAAGTGACATTTTCTATGGGAGCAGAGGAACTAATGGGAGGAGAAAGACAGGGAATATGGGGGTATGCTAAAAGTATGTCATAGAGTCTTATTTATTTATTTTATTCTTTTCTCGTACACTCCAACCACAGTTGCCCCTCACTCCCCTCCCCCTAGTCTTTCCCCACCACCTCCCTTCTCCTCCAGATCCACCCCACACCTCCCTTCAGAAAAGAAGAGGCCTCCCAAGGATCAACCAAACATGGCAAAAAAAGATACAGTGAGACCAAGGCGCAAACTATCATTTCAAGACTGGACAAGGCAACCCAGTAGGAGGAAAAGGGTCCCACGGGTAGATAAAAGAGTCAGAGACAGACCCTACTCCCACTGTTAGGAACCCCACAAGAACACCAAGCTATGTAGCCATAACATATATGCAGAGGAGGTAGGTCAGACCCCTACAGGCTCCCTGATCTCTGTGAGCCCCCATGAATCCCCATCAGATGATTCTATGGGCTGTGTTTCCTGACTCCCCTGGTTCCTCCAATCCTTCCTGCCCCTGTTCTGTAGGATTCCCCCAACTCTGCCTAATCCCAACCAGAATTCTAATGGGAAACAGAAGAGGCTCAGGGCAGCAAAGTCTGGCAGACCAGGAGCGTGGTTTTCTGAAGGTGATGCTGATAGCCAGGAATCCTGCAGGATGCTTTAGAAACTTCTCTAAAGTACAAAGCATCAAACATTAGAATATACGAGCATAAAAATAACAGTGAGGATTGCTATGCCCAATACAAAACTAACACAAGTCCCAAAGTGCAAAACCATCCACGCTTTGCCTCGGAGGAGGAGCTTGAGGACCCAGTTGCTCTCCTGCTTCTCCAGCTCCCGCTTCTGCCTCTCCACCTCCTGCCTCACCCTGGCCAGGAAGCACCTGTAGGCCTTGGGAAGCATGACAGCTAATGGCCTAAGACATTCAGTTATCTGGTGGTCCATTTGCCTTGCTGTGGGTGTATGAAGGGAAGCCCGTCCCTGTCTAGGCACTGAGCCGTGGTCTTTGACTGTTGAAAAGAGTCCCTCCCCTGGCAGGAGTCTTACCTGTGGGGAAGGTAACTTTTACACCTGTCTGAAGCATCTCCATTTTTTTATTTCTAGAAGAGAAAATATACAAAGAGTGTTCATGTTGGATTTGGATATGATACGCAACATCAAACACAATATCCTGTAGAAAGGGACATCAGACCAAAGAAGGAACTGCGGGAGTCACATGCATGTCCTTACGGGTAGCTCTAAATGACCCAAAGGAGAAAGACCCACGAAGAGGGTACGTGTAATGCGATCACGTGGCATCGTCACCATGACTTGTCTTCAGCTACAGGCAGAAGGAAAGTGGGCTGTGTACCCACAACAACAGTTAATGACACTGGTCACTATTTCCTACTGAGCACATGGATGTCTGGGGTTCTGTGGGAACCCTGTCCCCAGCATCTCCAAGAGACAAATGTAATTCTTCCCTTGTTCCATGGCAACGGTCCCTCCTGCCCTGCCCAGAGTTTAGCTGAGTCCAGACCGCAGGACTTTGTCCAAACTGGGAAAGCCCAAGGCAAACCAGGACCAGTTATTCACCCAGGAATAGGGGTCTGTTGTGGGGTCATACTGGGGAGTAATGGGTGCACCCGGGAAACAGGAAGAAAGGCTAAGCCCTGCAGCTGCACAGCTTGCGCTGTGCTCCCAAGGTCATAGTGGCCCCTGTGCTCCCGGGGTCATAGTGGCCCCTGTGCTCAGGGTCATAGTGGCCCCTGGGCCCCTGGGGTCATAGCGGGCCCCTTAACTCCCAAGGTTACAGTGTCCCCTCTGTTCCTGGGGTCATAGTGGCCTTACTTCCAGCTCAGTCCTGGACTGGAGACACGCTGAGGGTACCTCTCTTGCAGGGCCCTTCCTTTCCTTCTGCGCTGTTCCTCGCAAGCCTCTCCTGATCCTTGTCCTGCCCCACTCTCCCCACCTCCTGTACCAGGCAGGGGATCCACAGGAAAATGACTTCCCAGCTTCCTTGCTGGAAGGTACCTGCACAGACCTTCCAAAGGCAATGCAGGGCCCTGCTTAGTCAAAGCTTCTGTTTCCTGGAGCCAGGTTCCAGGAGCAGGCCTTGTATTAGTCAGAGTTCTCTAGAGGAACAGAACTTACCAAACACATACACATTAAACATATATTCTATCCCATATGTTATGTATATGTGGAATAAAAAGGAAAATTATCAGAATGGCTTACATGCTGGGGTCCAGTTAGTCCAACAATGGCTGTCTAACAATGGAAAGCCCAAGAAGCCACTAGTTCTTCAGTCTACGAGGCTGATGTCTCAGCTGGTCTTCCGTACACACTGGAATCCAGCCGCAGGCTCCGATGCCAGCGAAAGGAGGGGCTCGCTAGGTGAGAGTGGGGTCCAGCAGGCAAAGAGAGAGCTTCCTTCTTCCACGTCCTTTCTGTAGGACACCAGCAGAAGGGGTGACCCAAATTAAAGGTGGCCTCCCCACCTCAAAGATCCAGATCAGATCTAAGTTAAAGAATTTAATTAAGAAAAAAATCCCTCATGGGTGTGCCCAGCAATATGAGTTTTATTAATTCCACGTGTAGTCAAGTTGACAACCAAGAATCACCAAAATAGGCCTGAAAATGAACATCTAATTACAGAATCTCAGGTCTTTGGTGAGTCAACACGTTTTTTAGAACAAAACACGTTTGGGAATAAATGCATTTCCTAGGCGCCCTCTACATCTGAGACTGGCCAGACACCAACTGGGCAAGAAACGTAATAAGCATAATAAACATAATAAAATTGGGATACTTTAATTTTGATACTGAAGGCCAGAACCCAGCATTCATCTCAGCAACTTCCTTGTCGTTCGTGCTGAAGATGTTTTAGCTCCAGGGAGACACAGCACTGACTCTGAGTCTGTCCCTGTGACCATATCATGCTCCCTGTTTCCTGGGTCTTTTCCCTTTGGGCCAGCAACTCCCTGTCTCTTGGCCTCTCTGCTCGGCAGCCAGTCCCACAGAAACTAATCTAATCTGGTCACACAGATGCCCAGAACTCTCACAGGTCTCAGAAAAACTGCTAGTTGTGTATCTCAGGCGAGGACTTTCACCTGGAGACCTGGCCCTGAGCACCAGCTGTGGTCCTGCCCTTTCAGGGGTTTTCAGAGAGGGTCAGTCTATCTCAGCTTGGCGGGGGCTGCTGGGCCAGCAATCTGATCAGACAGAAATGCAGATGCTGCTATGGGGGCTGTTGTATGCAGATCACTTTATAGCCATGCTGGGAAGTGCAAGGCCCAGGTAAGAGGCTGTGGAGGCCAGTACCTTCAAGGGTAGGAGGGCACATGTGCAGCCAGCTACAGAAAGGAGTGAAGGGGGTGGTGTTGATGTTTCTAAGCCAAGATCTGGGTACCCTGGAGGCCCTGTGCTGCTTTACAGTCCTGTGAGGAGACCAAGACTCTGGAGGTTGGGCTAAATCAGGCCACACAACACTGCACGAAAGAGCAAGGGTGATATAACCACAGCTTCCTGGGTAGTGTGTCCCCAACTTAGGCTGATAGGATGGGGTCTTCCTCCATGCTGTCTGTTGCCCCTAGGTGCTGACCAGTGCTCTCTCAGGCAGGACTACTCATATGGCACCTTTGGAAGCAACAGGTAGCAGGTCATTCCCCCAAAGTGAAAGCCTTAAACTGCTGCCATCTCAGGATCCAGTCTGATCAGAAAGGGAAATGAAAGCAAGGGCGGGAGCATCAGGGGTTTTCCCACTTCTTAAACCTTCTTTAGACTTGAGGACATCTCAAATGCTCAGAGTTTCCCTCTCCTGTGCTTTCTCTAGTTGGAACCCACACACTTCCAGCGAAGGTCACCTTTTCTATTTCCAGGTTGCACCCTCTTTGCATTCTGTCCCCTTGGGGGATCTTATTTTAAGTCACCACCCTCCTGGGGCAGCTCTGTGCCTTCCCCCAGCCCACTGGAAGCCAGCCATCAACCCGCACCACCCACCTCACAGCCATTAGTCCTTCCACACATTTTTAAGTAGTCAGTGGAAGGACTGGTGGGTGTGCATCCAGTATTTCCTGTCCCTGGTTGGACCTCAGAGCTAGCAAAACTGGAAGGGCTTCCCAGTGCCCTCCTAGGGCGCGCTCCCTGGTATTGCCCAGGACTGGGAGAGACTAGAGGAGAGATCAGGTTTAGGCCACGCTTGGAAACACTGCGGGAAGGTCGCAAATGTGGGCCTGGAGTGGATTGTCTTAGTCTCATCTGACAAAAGGCATCATACCATTCTCTCCCGTGTCCTTGACCACTGCATCTTGAAGAGAAATGGTCCCTGATCAGAAAAACACTACAGGCTGTGAAGATAAACCACTGTGCACGGGCCATTGGGGTCACTTCCAGGAGCAACCTTTCCTGCTTGTAACTTAGTTCTGGTTGCTTTGTCTGATCTTTTTTTTTAAGTGTATCTAAAACACAAGTTTTAAAAGTTTAACTAAAACACAAAAATCGAATGCTTTATGTGAACAGATCAACCCGAGTAGCACCCTGACACCTTCTCCATCTTTAAAATGAAAGGCATTTCCTCCTGTCCAGCACTGTGAACACTCACCAAGAGAAAGGAAAGCAATGGGAAAGAAGTAAGATGAAAACTCCAGGGGATGGGAGATGGGACACCCAGTCCAGCCAATCGGTGAGCACCAGATTCATGGGCCCTTGTCTCCATAGACACCATAGAGAGACTGGGGGACGCCTCAGGCTCGCACACGAGGAGTGGAGTTTGTGTTCTCGGAGCCCTCATAAGAAATGAGTGTGACTGTGTTCATCCACAGCCCTGGCACTGGGGGATGAAGTGGTATAGAGGCAGGCCCTGGGCTCCTTTAGATCCCTCTAGCCAATCTAGGCAGTGGTGGGTGAAGCCGCTCGAGTGAGCCCCTGTGTCAATGCAGGTGGAGGGTGACAGAAGATGAGGTGAGATGTCCCTGCTCTCCTGCAGTGAGAACCTAAGCTTCAGGGCATTCTCACCCACGGAAGGGCTCCTGCCCCGGACTGGATGGAGCAGATGTTCCTAAGGGAGTCTGGAATTCCTTCTGGACCATGAATAGTGTGGGAATTTCAAATCACTCATGAGGCCAGTGCTCCATCTTCCAGCCCGACACTAATTTCCCAGGTCACAGGAAGTACGGCTGCCCCGTCCAGCTCCTCCCTAGCCTCCAGACACTAAACACAGCCTGGCTGAGGAGTCCGGGGGAATTACTTTAGAAAGGAAGCCCATTCCTCTCCCTCCCTGGAAACTCCTGGCAGGAAACAGAGTCTCTAAGAGTCCACCTTCCCTGAGCCCCTAGTCGGGTATTAGGTTTGTCATCTTGAGAGAGAAAACCCACTGAGGTTCCACACACAGACCAGAAGTCCTCTGGGAGAATCCTTGGGGCACAAGATGCTATGGCCTCCCCAACTTTTCCTATAGTAAAGAGATCAAGTGCCTTGCCCTTCAGGTCTACAGTAATTGTTACTGGTAGATTTAAGGGTGAGATGGGGAGAGGAAAGTGTGCGCATGCGTGCAAACACACAGACACACACACACGCCACATGCATGCGCGCACATACAGACATACATACTGCATGCACGTGCACACGCGCGCGCACACACACACACACACACAGGAGCCCTGTTACCTGGTGGGTGCTGGAGGATTTTTCGATTCAAGGTCTACATGCGCTGTGACGCACCTTCCTGTCCTAGGCAGTTTCTCACATTGGTTTTTAATTTCTTCATGAAAATACAAGAGCTATGAGAAGAAAAAAAAAAAGCAGCTCACAAAATCTGTCTGCCAGAGGGAGAAAGACGACATCCGTGGGGCACAGGAAGGAGCGGTGTGCACAGGTTTCTCGTCAAAGCTGTGCTCAGAGGGCTACAGGGAAGAGGTTTTTTTTTTCTTTCTTTTTTTTTTTTTAAATAAAAGCCAGTTCTCTTTCCTGCCCCACCCTCGTCGCCCACACCGCTGAGATGCTCTTGTGAAAAACTCTATCTCTACAGGACTAAGAGAGTAGAGAGGCCTAGAAACACGGCATCCCAAGCCTCCAGCTTCTCACCTCTGGGCCAGGCAGAGAGCGTGCATCTCCCGGCCCCTGCATTCACGTCTGCTCTACAGTGGAGACTAAAGGGGCTTTCTGGGCCCCACTGGACAAAGCAGCGGGTACCACACTTCTGGGGAGAATGTGAGAGGACAGGGCTTAGATTTTTCTCACCTGGGCAGATCTCATCTCCACAGGACCCATGGAGCTAGTGACCCAAGCAGTGGTCTGACTTAGGCAAAGCAACAAACATTTAGGGAATCCCAAGTCACTTCTGTCCCTTCCTGCTGCCCTGCTGGGCTCAGGATTGCTAGGGTGACCCAGATCTCTTCTCTGGAAAGCCATTCAGGACCCCCCACTTCCTGGTATGTTTCAGTTCAGATAATTGTTTTTATTTTCTGTGTAAGCCTACCTGTATGTAAATGCCCTTTACACATGCTTAGTGCTTGTAGAAGTCAGAGAGGCTGCTGGATCCCCTGGAACTGGAGCTATCAACAGTGATAAAGACTATCTGAACTTCCGAGCCATCCCTTCAGTCTCAAGTTCAGATGGTTTAAGAAAGTCTAAGCAGGAAGGTGGGATATGAGTGACTCGGGCCCCAGCTGAGTGTGGAGAGCAGGGCGTTCTGGTGCAGAGACACACACATAAAGCATTTTGCAAGGAAAGCCAGGCTTGACTTCCACAAGCCTTCTGAATGCAACTTTAACTTTTGAGATAATCGTGGGTATTATGTTGAGTGAGGTGGAGGCTGTGACCCAGTAAGAAGGCATTTCTCCTTTTAGCTGTTAAAGTGTGTATCTAATTATTTTTATCAATAAAAACTTGGGAGTCAGCTATCAGGATAAGAACCTGAGTGATCAGGGGAGCAGCAGAGAGGCAGTCAGTGACCTCTCTTTCTCTCTCCTTCCTCTGTCCTCTAAAACGTTTATGGCTAACGTTAGTCAACTAGTAGCTAGCTCTGCTCTTTGATTCAAAGTCAACTTTATTGGTGTCTCAGGAATGTCAGAGTGTGATCAGAATATCCCACAACAAGCTCCAGAACGTTGTCCAGTCTCTTATTTTTGCCAATTAATAAAGATCATCTCCAAAATAGAAATAATGTACATGTGTTTTCATGACCATGTTCCCACCCAAGGCCAGCGTTCAAAGTCGCCTCTGTGTGTGTTTTATAAATATGTCATACATGAGAAGGGATTGCTACTGACAGTTTCGGAGCCGCCCAGGCCTCACAGGGCCTCCTCAGAGAAGTCAAGTCCAGCAGCCTTAACCCCTGCAGGCCAATCCTTGTGGATCAGAGCCGCAGAGAGAAGCCTATGACCTCGAGCCATACCTGTCTGTGCCCTAGGGAAAAGGCAAGCTGAAGGAAGCACAGTGATGCTGCCTTTGGTCCAGGCCTTCGCTGCTCTAACCACACTGTTGTGATTGTTTCTTTGACAATGTGCCCTCACAGGCTCTCTCTCTCTCTCTCTCTCTCTCTCTCTCTCTCTCTCTCTCTCTCTCTCTCTCACACACACACACACACACACACACACACCGAGGGGGAAGAGAGAGAGAATTTCAAAAATTTTAAGTGGAATAGTGAAGAAATTACAGAATTAGAAACTTATATATGGCCGGGCGGTGGTGGCGCACGCCTTTAATCCCAGCACTCGGGAGGCAGAGGCAGGTGGATCTCTGTGAGTTCGAGACCAGCCTGGTCTACAGAGCTAGTTCCAGGACAGGCTCCAAAGCCACAGAGAAACCCTGTCTCGAAAAACCAAAAACAAGAAAAAAAAATAGAAACTTATTTAAGTTCAAATATGCTACTTAGTAACTGTTTTCAATGTCTTGCCAACACTGCCCCCTGCTGGTTACCTCTTAAATTTGCTGTTTTGCTTTTGGCCCAGTCTGGAAATCTTAAACAATATTTTGAGGGGTGTGTGTGTGTGTGTGTGTGTGTGTGTGTGTGTGTGTGTGTGTGTGTGTGTGTGTGAATTTATCAGAATGACAGACTGCAGTCCAACAGTGGCTATCTGTGAATGGCAAGAATCCAGTGGTTTCTCAGTTCCACAAGGCTGGGTGTCTCCATGTTGGAACTCCAAAGCAGCAGGCTCCAACGCCATGAAGGGATGGGTGTACTGCCGAGGGGGAGGGTAAGCAGGCAAAAAAGAAGGAAACCTTCCCTCTCCCACTGTCCTTATATAGCTGTGTCTTCCTGTGTCAAGATCTGGATCACCGTGTGCCCTCTGCTTCTGGATTGCAGTTCATTTCTGATATAGCCAAGCTGACAACCCAGAACAGCCATCACAGGAATCTCACGGTAAGAAGATAATCTGTCTGATTTGTGGGTTCCTGTTACCATCCACTTGTCAGGACCCACAGAATGCAAAACAGCAGAAGTGACCCCTGGGGTAAAGCTATAGACTTAGTTAATAAAATATATGAATATAATTTGATTGACAGCACAATGCTACACCAATGCAACATGTTACTGACAGGAGAAACTGGAGGCCACGGTGAGGAGGCCATGACCCCTTCAACTTTCCCCTCAGATTTTCTATAAAGTTAAACTGTTGAGGCTGGAGAGATTGCTCTGCAGTTAAGAACACTGGCTGCTCTTTCAGAAGATCCGGGTTCAATTCCCAGCACCCCCATGGCAGCTCCCAAGCATCTGTAACTCTAGTCCCAGTGCCTCCTTCTGGCCTCTGCCGACACTGCATGCACATGGTGCACAGATGTGCAGTGGGGACAAAGTCATCCATACACAGAAAAAACAAAATGCAGTTTTAGAAAGACTATTATTAAAAACTGATTTTTAATAAATCAATTAATTAAAATCAGAAGAGGGTGAAAAGAAACGAGTTAGGGCAAGAAGCAGGGTAAAGGAGGTGAGAAGTGAGATGAAGGTGAGGCTGAGAAGGGATCAGGACGGGGAGGAGAGGAAGCAGAGTGGAGGTGGGAGAGCGGTAGGCATTCGCTGCGACAAACTCACCACCAGCAATGCTGGGGGCAATGGGGACAAGCGCAGTCAGCTCTCATGAAAGTTTATCTTTTTATGTGTGTGTCTGTCATAATTGGGGTTTCTATGGCAACTCTTATAAAGGAAAACACTTAATTGGGGTGGCTTATTGTTCAGAGGCTCAGACTGTTATCATCATTGTGGGACATGGTGGCTGAGAATTCTACATCTTGACCAGCAGGCAACAGGAAGTGGTCTGCCTCACGGGGCGTGGCTTGAGCATATTATGAGCCCTCAAAGCCCACCTCCACAGTGACAGACTTCCTCTAGCAAGGCCACACCTACTCCAACAGGGCCACACCTCCTAATAGTGCCACGGCCTTTGGGGGCCATTTTCTTTCAAACCACAGCAATGCATATCTGTGAGATTCTGTGCACGTGCCGGAAAGGACCAGAGGAAGCCAGAGGAAGGCATCAGATCACCTAGAGCTGGAGTTGCAGGAGGTTGTGGGCTGATGTGGGGGCTAAGGACCAAACTTGGTTCCTTGGGAAGAGCAGAAAGCACTCTTAACCCCTCAGCCATCTCCCCAGCTCCATGAATTAGTCTTAAAAGACCACAAAGGCTGCTTTAGCATGAGACACTGACGTTTCTTCCCGTTGCTGCCCCCTGTGGCTTATGTCGGAGTGAAGGCTTTTACCTCCCCGTGACTCTCCTAACACTGTGCTCTTCATCTGGTTACTTGGATTTATTGTTGTTTATAAAACCTGGCTCTAGCTCGTCTAATCTCCCATTTAATTCAGAGGTAGACAGATGACAGGCAGATGATAAATAAGTTAGATATATAATATAATGAGAGATACATTTCACAGAAATAAATGTAATATACATAGCAGCAGAAAAGTGGGGTTTGGGTGTTTTGGAGCCTTAAATTATGTGTTCAGTATTACTTAATAACATACCTACCAATTAAAATGTATAGCTCTTATACCAATGATGTTTAAAAATTTTTAAAGAGATACAAATAAGTCAACACACTAGGCCTTTAATCCTAGAGAGGCAGAGGCAGGGAGACATTTATGAGCTTGTGCCCAGCCTGGTTTACATAGTGAGTTCTAGGCCAGCCAGAGCTGAACAGTGGGATTCTGTCACCACCACCACCACCACCATAAATTAATAATAGCAATTCAATAGAAGTGACAAAATGAAATCACAAAAATACTTAATAAATGGAAAATAAGGCAAAAAAAATTAATGCTAGACAAACCTAGAAAGATTAAAAGAGCTACAGGATAATGGTTTTAATTCAGCAGTGGCAAAAACTACATTAAATAAATGGTCAAAATATTTAAAAACATAGTGTGTTAGAGTATTAAGAAATGAAACCCATTTATATGATGCCTCTGAACTTCCACTTTAAAAATAAAAATAGAAGTAGGTTAAAAATAAGAGAACACGAGCATCAAATAACATCAGAGGAATCTATGTTAGCATTAGAAAAGTAAACTTCAACTCAAAGGCTGTCACCAGGCTTCAAGGGATGGAGAAGCCACTTCCCAAAGATGATGCAGTAAGCAAAAGTTTCTCAAAACACATGGAGGAAAACAGAAAGCGCTGGAAGGTCACAAACATGAAAATACTCTGTAGTAGTTGGAGATCTTACCACTTTCTCAGTGATGGGTAGAGCAATCCGGAAGAAAACCATCAAATTTGTATGCAGATGGCTTGAGCAATACTAGTGACAATTTGACTTACTAGTGTTTATAGACATCCCGGCCAGAGCACACTCTCTTCCCAGGGACTTTCAACCGAACAGAACATATTCAG